TAGAATGCTTGCCTAGCTAGCGTGAGACCCCAAGTGGGAACCCCAGAACCACAGGAGAAAAAAGAAAGAAAGAAAGAAAGAAAGAAAGAAAGAAAGAAAGAAAGAAAGAAAGAAGGAAGGAAGGAAGGAAGGAAGGAAGGAAGGAAGGAAGGAAGGAAGGAAGGAAAAGAAAGAAAAGAAGAAAGGAAGGGACAGAGAGAGAAGAAGGGGAAGGGGGAGGAAATGGGAAGATGAGTCAATCCCCGCTTCTGCCCGTCTCCCCGAATTCTTTTTCTGTTATCAGAACCAAAGCCATAACCCCCAGCCCCTCAGGAGACCCCCGTCTGTTTTGGTTTGGTTTGCTGTAGCAACCTTATTTGACAATAGTCTTTCCAAAGCATCGTGTCAAATCGAGGCCATTCACACAATCCCTAACCCAACATCACCAGCGTCCTTATACATGGGAAAATCTGGACCCAACACAGATGTGTACGTGGGGAGATTGTCATGAGAGCTAAGAAAGCAGAGGCAGATGAGGGTCAGAAAACACCAGAGATGTCAGCAGCCGTCCTGGGTCTTGGGGACAGACCCTCGCAGAGTGCCTTCTAAATGAGTGAGGCGGGCTGGCGGGCTGGCTCGGCGGGTAGACACGTGGTGCCTAACAGTTGCCTGCATTGCGCCCCTGGGTCCCACATGGCGGAAGGACAGAACCGAGTTCTCCCAGTTGTCCACTAGCCTCCCCTCCAGCACACACCAGGTAAATTAAAACAATAGCAACGTCAAAGATGGACACCCTGCTTGAGCCCTCTAGCCGGAAATGTGAGATGAGAATTCTCTGCTGTTCTAAGCCACCCGGGTTGTGGGTTGTTGCTATGGCAATTCGGGAGTGGGATGGTGATGGAAATAAAGGATGGGTCGAGTGCCGGGGCCGGTGAAGGCAGTGGGTGAGAAGGCACTTGTGGACAGGATGCTCAAGGCCTTAGTCACTGTCATCATGGGTGTGGGGACAAGAGGGTGATTACTAAGTCTGAACATTGGTGGACAAGCCCAGAGGACACCGTGTCTCACTAATGTATCACATAACCAGTCTATAGGAGAAAGATAAGAGGGCATCTTCCAGGCAGGGCTTCGCTGAGATCACTGAAGTATTTTTGTAGCTACACCCTGCCCAGTCATAGCCAAGTCCAACGACCTTGAAGAGGCATAGTGCCCTGGACCCCTGGATGAGGGACGTGGAAGGACCCCGATGCTAATGGACTCTGATCGGGATCCTGGAGACCGGGTCCCAGGGAGGAGGGAGCATAAGGAATTCAGCAGAGCAGAAAGAATCTGGAAGCTTCCTTTCTATAGAGTGGAAACAGAGGCTAGAGATGAACAGACCATAGCAAAGGGGGTATGAGAAAGCAGTGGAGAGGAGACGGAGAAAGAGGAGAGACAGACAGACAGACAGACAGGAGTGGAGGGATGACAGAGCGCTGGGAAACTCCTGCCCTCCTGGGACCCGACAGGAGCTTAGATGCGGTCCCCATAAGAACTATCCTCCTCTCCCCCATGCCAAGTCCTCAGCAGAGAGGAGTTGGAAGGGGCCATGGCCTAGGGTCAGTCCCTGGCAGAGTGAGTTCCAAGGTGGGACAAAGTCTAAAGGCTTTTATGACGATGGTGTCTTATCCAAGGTTGAGCAAGAGAACCCCACTCCTGACTCCAAGTCCCCTTCCGGCCCCCCACCCCCGACCCTCCCATGGTGTCATCTAGTTGGAGGAGGAGGGAAGGCTGGGGTCTGTGTGGTTTGCTTCTGCCTCAGTTTCCCTTCCTTCTCTGGGACCAGGCAAAGGGACAGTCTGGCTGGGACCCACTCTCATCTCTTGCTCCCCGGAGCCTGGTTTCCGGGGCCAAAGAGGCCTAAGCAACTCCCAACACCTAGGGGCTGGAGAGATGGCTCTGGGGTTAAGAGCGTTTACTGTTCCGTCGGAGACCGGAGTTCAGATCCCAGCATCCCACATCAGGGCAGTTCACAAACACCTGTAACTCCAGCTGAAGGAATCCAACATTCCCTGTGGTCTCCGTGGGTACCGATGTACAGACACACGGATACATACGTAAAATGGGTTTTAGAAAGAAGAAATCCCAACCTAGGGCTTCACACATGCTAAGCAAACGTTCTACCAAGGGAGTCTATCCTAGCACCCTGGCCCCTGACTGGGCCTCCCGTGCGGGCACGCCACGCTGAGTCACCTGCCCCTCACTAGAGGATTCTAGGAAAGTGCAGTCCTCCCCCTTTTTTTGTTTGAGACAGTAGCCCTGGCTGTCCTGGAACTCACTCAGTAGTCCAAACTGGCCTCAAAGTCACAGAGATCCACCTGCCTCTGCCTCTGAGTGCTGGGATTAAAGGCATTTGCTACGATGCCTGGCTTCCCAGTCTATTTTTTTTTTTTTTTTTTTGCTTGTTCGATTTGTTTTAGTCAGGGTCTCTCTAAGTAACCCAGGCTAGCCTGGAACTCACTATGTAGACCAGGCTGGCTTCGAACGCATAGAGAACCACCTGCCTCTGCCACCCTTCCCGGACCCCAGTCTTATTATTACTTTTTTTATTTTGAGACAGGGTCTCACTAAGTTGCCGAGGCTGGCCTTGAACTCACTCTGTAGCAGATCTTGAACCTTCAACCTTTCCTGAGTGATGGGAATGGCAGGCTTTCCCTGCTCAGAATGGACCAACCCTTGTCTTCTTACGGGAGGAAACCGAGACCAGAGAGGAGCTGAGTGGATCCCCGACACACAGTTAGTTCATGAGAAAGTTAGAATCTGGGGCTCCATGACAAGCCACTGTTTTTACACTCTTTCCTCGCACACAGAGTCCTTGGAGGCATTGGCATAGAGATGGGAGATAAGAGAGTTGGGTATGGACACTCAAGATAAACACAGGCTCTGTTTAACATGGTTGGGTGTCTACCCCACATCAAAGGGAGAATTCTGTTTAATCCAAGCAGCCGTATCAACTGGCACCTGGTCCTGTCACTCCCTGGAGTGGTGGCAACCCAGAGAGGCAAACTGGACTTTCCCCCAAAGCTCATTTGGGGAAAGAAAAGACGTTCAGGGAAGCCTAGGGCTGAGTGTCAAGTGGAAGACTTCTCGGCTGCCTTTGACGGGGAGGGGACTGCCCTGGAGCCTGGCGGGTCAGGGATGCAGGCCTGTGGGAAGGGGGCTCAGGACAGCGGCGCTGGGAAGCGACTTACCCTGCTCCGCAGCGCTGTGTGGGGGCAGGAAGTGGAGGACGAGAGCCAGCAGGCAGAGGGCCGAGGTTTGCCTCATCCTCCTCGACATCGTGGTGGCGGCGGCGCGGATAGCCCTGCCTGCTTTGCGCTCTTCGTGGAAGCCGGCAAAATGATTGCGAGGCAGGGAACCCCAGAAATAAAAACAGCCAAGAGACCTTTGACCTCTGAGATACTGAGGGTGCCGGGGGGTCAGTGTGGATAGGAGTTAATCTGACAGCTTCCCGTATGACGGGGGTGGGGGGGGGGTGCCATTACTCTGGGCCAAAGAGCAAAGGGAGCGGTTCGCTTTCCTGGCCAGGAGAGCGAGCGCATAGGTGTCCGGGTAGGTAATGAAATCTATCGCCCCGGTAGAGGGGTGGTGCGGCGGCGGCCGGCGAGAAGACAGGAGTCGCGCTCCTGGCCCTTCCACAGAGATGCACCATAGAGCCCAGATCCAAGCAAGAAAGAGGAGCATCCTGGATTTGGCCCTGGCCCCTGGCAGGAATAGCTCTCCATCATCCCTCCAGCTGTCCCTCTCCCTGTCCTATAGGTACCCCAGCAGGACATGGGGTTCGAGTCGTGAGACCCTGAGATGATCAGGACATCTTTAACATCCTGGTCACAGTTTCCCCACCTTCTCAGTCCCTCCCCCTGAAGCTCCCTTCTGCTCCCATTCCCCAGTCCATTTCCCCTCCGTTTCTACTCAGAAAAGGGCAGGTCTCCCATGGGTATCAACACAACATGGCAGATCAAGTTGCAGTAACACTAAGTACCTCCCCATGTATTAAGGCTGGGCAAGGTGACCTGGTATGGGGAGTAGGGTCCCAAAAGTCAGTAAAAGAGTCAGAGACAGTCCCTGGTCCCACTGTTAGGAGTCCCACAAGAAGACCAAGCTACACAACTGTCACATGTACACAGAGGGCCCAGGTCAGTCCCATGCAGGCTCCCTGGTTGTCTCTGTGACCCCTATGAGCCCAGGTTAGTTTATTCTGAGTTTTCTTGTGGTGTCCTCGACCCCTTTGGCTCCTACAATCCTTTCTCCCCATCTTCTGCAGGATTCCCCAGGCTTGGCCTAATGTGTGGCTGTGGGTCTGCATCTGCTTCCATCAGTTGCTGGATGACGCTTCTCTGGTGACAATTGGTCTAGGCACCAGTCTGCTCACAGGAGGTGGCCCGTTCAGGCTACGTATCCACTATTGCTAGGAGTCTTAGCTGGGGTCATCCTGGGAGAGATTCCCTTGTGCCAGGTTTCTACCTGACCCCGAAATGGCCCCCTTTCCAGCAGTCTCTTTCAGGACTCTCCCTCTCCATCCATCAAGAGTTCTTAAGTGTGTGAGTTCAGAGGTAAGCAAGGCCCTCTCGCCATCCCCGTGGCCCCCTGGAGTGGCCTTTTCCTCGTCTCCCTTGTGGAACCGAGAGCTCAGTCCTCGGCCTCTGGAGGTTCCCCTTGTTGCCCTTGGGCCTGAGACATTCTGTCTCCAAGGCCTGGCCCTGGGTTTGTCCATCCTCAGTGACCTCCGGCAGAGGTGGGCCCAGCCCTGCCCCAGTTGGAAGAGGCAAGTGTTCAGATGTTTAATCCTGGGGAGGTTGTTCTACCCAGAGGGGCACAAACATTTCCCTCCATTACTTCCAGATGCAACCCACCAGGTCCCCCTTTCCCCTCTACAACACACACACACACACACACACACACACACACACACATGCACACGCGCGCACGCGCGCACGCACACACACGCACACGGACATCAGGAAGAGAAGAAAACATTTTACTCTGCGTTGAAGAATTGCTTTATTGACAGGGAAATTCCAGAGCAGGGTGGTACCTATGCGCAAACAAAGATGCCAAGGTGCTCAGCGGCGTCTTGGGTTCCTGTGACATGGAGGTGACAGTGGGGAGGAGGAGGGGTCCGGCTCTCAGTCCTCGGCTCTGTGTCCTGTGGTTAGTCTCCTGGCAGTGACCCATGGGCCGGCTCCGACCACCTCAGATCAGTCACACGAAGCTTTGGGACCTGGTGTCAGCTTCGTCCTGACCAGCCAGGAGTCCCGTGGTGGGGACTCTGTTCCTCTCTGGTCTGAAGCTGGACGGGGCACGATGGGGTAGACCAGATGACCAGATGCTTCCGTTTCCACTAAGCTGTGGGTTTTACCACCTCGGGCCTCTGAAAGTTGAGCTCGGCATTTGGGTCCACGCTCTGCAGGTTTGGCCGGAAGTGGCTGTACCCTTTCTCAAGGGTAAATTTGTCGTCTTTCAGATTCTGGCCTTCCCAGACACCTGTGCTCCGGAAGGTTCCAGGGACAGCGTCTCTCTGCCATGCTTGTGAGGGGTCCTATTTTGACCTGCGCATTTTTTTCTGAGACTGGCCAAGGAAGACAGTCAAGACAACCACAAGGACCAGCAGGACTGCCAGCACGGTGCCCACAAGTCCATACACGAGTCTCTTGCTGGTTCTAAACTGGCAAGTCTCCCCCCAATACTAGTGGGTGTCTGTGTTCGGGCACACGCAGTGGGGTCCGGAGCGCAGCAGCTGGCACTGGCCCAGGTTGCAGTTGAGCTGCGACTTTGTGCCCTGAGTGCAGTTGTTCACGCAGGTCAGCCTTCCCTCCAGGAACTCCGGGTAGAAGTACTGTCTAAAGTCCTCGGCAGCCTCCCGGGTGCAAAGCTCGGCAGGGTTGAAACTGAGCCTCAGAGCCTCCACGTCCACAGTGGTGAAGTTACCATTGTAGCACAGTTTGCTGTGTTGGCACAGGAAAGGGTCAGTTTCGA